ACCGCCGACACTCAAACATCATCACCAGAACCCATCTTGCTCTAATGTCCGGATGGATTGACGGCAGGGATTTGTCATCACCTGAAGATGTTTCCTACAGTGTCACCAGTGTTCCCTATAAATTTAAATTGCTGTACCGAGGATCTCGACACGGATTCAACGATAAGATGTTTCATAAACGATGTGATAACAAAGGGCCTACGATCACCGTGATTAAGCTCGAAGGACTGGAGGGGGTGGTGATTGGTGGATATAACCCCTTGAATTGGCAATCGCCGTGGATTCGGAAATTCGAGGAGTGCCATCACAGCTTCGTATTTTCCATTTGCGCCGACTCGTTGAAAAAAAATCACCCGAAGGACAACAGCAGCAGCGGCGCGGACGGTAATTATGGTGTTGATCAAAACACAAACGGTGCGCTCGACGTGGAACCAACAATGGATTATGTAAATAAAAATATGATAGTGAGCACCACGCCGGCGAAATCGAAATCGGTATTCAGCAGGGCGACATTTCCGAAATATGCCATCAACTTGCATCGATCCACAGGGCCGGCATTTGGAACCACTGATTTGGTGATAAAGGACAGAGTTTTGAAGTGCAAACCCGATTGCTACACGCTAGATTTATTTGATAGCGTACTGAATGATCATGACCATGCGAAGAAAAATACATTTGGAAGAAGCAGGTTTTTGAAGAGGAGCCACGAAGATTTAGGAAATCATGATCATAACGTCAACGACGTTAGCAATCACTTTAGAAATGTCAACTCAGGATCCGATGAAGAATGCCACGATGAGAACGTTAAGAGCTATCTAGAATTTGATGAAGCGAAGGCGGAAGATTCGGAGCCAAAACCTTACCATTTCAAGATAGAGGAATACGAAGTGTACGGGATGATTGTAAAACCAATCAAGCTGATGTAATTGAGTGAGATTGGTGGGTGCGAAGTGAATAAACGCGACGACACGAGCATAATCAAATATATTCAATTACAAGTACATTTCGTGGAAATAAAAAAAAAAAAAAAATTTAATTCGCCGATTCATTCAGTGTTTTTTTTTCGTATTTGATACATACTGTATACGATTCGAGTACGGCATGTACCGGCGCTAACCCCCGATAAACCATAGGCTTCGTTCTATTAGTAAAAATCCGGTTTATAGCGGTTTTGTACTTGAGACCGACTTATCGAGACGCCCGTAACTCAGTTCGACTCTTTTTTTTTTTTTTTATGATAACGATAGGTTATCGTCGTTATCTTTATTTGACATTTCTAGTAACGTAAAAAAAAATGTCCCGAAACAAAAAAAATGTATACTTGTTGTGTCTCTATCATGAGAAAATCGAAAGAATAATGGTTGATCAATGACCAATTGTCAAAAAATGGCAAGGGAATTATCGAAACTCTGTCAAATTGCAATGAAACTGTTGCTTAGCATGGTGGAGTTATATTAAACGCAATTTTTTTTTCTAGAAAATGACGTAGCTCATCGAGACATCTTTTCGCAGTTTCAATTTTTTCAGTACATACAGTATTTAAAATTTTGGAACGATAGGAAATACTTTTGGGAAAAAGGTCGACAAAGAAACGCAGGAGCAAAAATTGTCACGCGCTTCTCTTCTGGTGATAGCCGCCACCGGGCTCTTAAGAAATATCCTTTTGTCAGAAAAAATTTTCCCTTCAACTTCATGCGCACGACCCACTTACATCATGTCCCACTTTCAGTAACGCACCACGAAAAAAAAATGCCTACACGCCAGAAACCGCCAGCACGTCACTTCTATATCTCAATCGTCTTTGCGCTTTCTGTTTTCATTTCTTTCTTCCTGTTGGACCACATTTGCCCTTTTCCCGAATCCGTAATATCCGGGGATCCCTGGTGGAAAGTTAATCCCTTGGTTGTTATCGTTACGGTCATCGATGATAACGGTTTCTCTCCGAACCAGAGAAGATTTTCGAGTTCAGCGGGCTCAATCAGGAACGGTACGTTGAGAGGCGAGACCGTTGGCAGAGTTGCTTCGAAAAAAAGTTTCAATGTTACGAAGAGGGCCTTGGAGAATAAAAAGAGATATGCCAACTTGCATGGATACGAACTTGCCGTCAAAAGTGTTAAAGATTGGACGAGGTCGACGGTGAGTTCTCGTTGATCGAAAGAAAAAAAAAAAAGGTGGCAAAAATGAATCAAAGGATTTAATCAAGCATAATATTTTGATCGTTACAGTCTTGGGCGAAAACGACCGCTCTTTTGGAGGCAATGGACGAATTCCCTTCGTCATATTGGTTATGGTTCATGGATTCAGTGAGATCTTTATTTCTTTTTTTTTTTGCAAATTCCCATTTTCCTCCTCCACCTCAACCTCACGCGAAAGATCCAATATTCCGAAACCTATCCTTCACCTCCTCACCTTCCGCCAACAGTAATCATCTCCTTAATTTATTTTCTCTCTCTCTCTCTTTTTTTACTCTACCTTTTTCCTTACATGAAAGTTTCTCATCGTGTCAAATCCAATTCAAATTGCAAACTATGTCTTGCAAAACGTAACTCACTCATCTCAGATGTTGATTGGACATGACTGTCATGGTCTTAATGCAGACTCATTTCTCATCAGGAATAGCGAGTGGTCAAGAAATTTCCTTAGAACCATTCACAATCCGGAATTTTTTGAAAGGTTCGAAGAGGAAAGGATTGTCATGCAGATGTTGATTGACTACGAGACCATCGAGGCCGATGATAAGATTCATTTCGTTCCTTTCGTGAGTATCAAGGCGTTTTATGCGCGTACAGTGTGCACGCACAGTTCACAGTTTAACCACGTGTGTGTGTGTGTAAACCAAACAGCGATCATTGAATGCTCTACCGCCTGCGCATGATTGTGGCGAAGACGAAAGATATGTGTGGCACAAAGACGATATTGTTTTTAATCTTTCGGGGTGTAATACGATTGCCGAATGTGAGAAGGTAATTCGAGAGATTGGTGTATTTGACTGATAGTGCACGGTGAATTAGGTTGGCGCGCGCGGTGTTGACGGATGTGAGAGCGTGATAAATACACCATTAGCATTACGTTATCATCGTTATATCGTCATTGTTTTTTTTTTTTTTATTGAATAAACTCGTATCTGTACTTTTCAGGATTCGCCGATTGGCATTCTTTATTTCTTTTTTTGGGTGTAACGTTTGCGTGCGTCCTAAACGTGTAACATTTGCATGCGTCCACACGTGTTTACACCGACATGTTTTCCGAAACTTGACTTTTTTTTTTTTTATTTAAAACATATGGCGGACGCTTTACGACTTTTTCCGATTATCATCATTCTTCTCCACGCACACATCTCATGGCCTTGGATCAATCTAAATTTTACGAAATCCTAGCGAAAGACCTGATAAAATTATTAAAAGACAATGGCGATCACGATATGGTCATAACGGCTGGTGAAGAACCGGACGTGAGAACCTTTCATGTGCACTCAAACATACTTCGAGCTCGATCAACCTATTTTTCCACCTCGATGTCAGAGATCTGGATTCGTAGAAAGGATGGCATCATACAATTTAAAAAACCTAATATCAGTCCGGAGGTATTTGAGATTATTCTAGGGTGAGTGTGGTAGGCGGGGGAGGGATTTTAATCAGGTCAATTATGATTGACCGGTATCCTCACCACTCATCTCTTTAACGATTAACTCCTAATCACCTCATTTCCTCACAACCTTTAGGTACATATATGGGGGAAAGACATTCGAGGAGAATTTGGATCCATCGATTATATTTGATTGCGTTATGGCCGCCGACGAGCTTGGAATCATAGAGTTCCTTCATTATGCACAGGATTATCTGTTGATTAAAAAGATCAAATGGCTGAAAGAGAATCTGGCGTTGATTTACCGTGACAGTTTCGGCTTGGAATCCATTCAAAAGTTACAAGAATTCTGCATCGATCGCATTAAGAAATACCCCTATCTACTGTTCGATTCTGATGATTTCCTCACCACAAGTGAAGAGGCGTTGATTGCAATAATTAAAGATGATGAATTGGAAATGGAGGAGGTGAAAATTTGGGATAAATTATTACAATGGGGAATCGCAAAGACTTCAAATCTTTCGAGCAACCCATTAGAATGGAGCGCAGAGGATCAAGCGTCATTGGGTAAGACGTTAAGAAACTGTGTGGAGCACATTAGATTTCACAACATGGATGCCGGTGAATTTCGTGACAAGGTAGCACCTTTCAAAGAGGTTCTCGGCACGGAGTATGAGAGGATCTCGGGTTACTTTTCCGAGTCGTTTGGGAAGAACACAAATGCGGCAGGTTCGCACAAGAGCAAGGAGATGATGAAAAAAAAATTGCCGAGTCGGGGGGCGATCATATCGACCATCATGAGTTCGTCTCACGCAGCCATGATTGCAAGTTGGATTGATCGCAAGGATTTGGCGACCAATCAGGAGACGGGTGGAAGCGGACTGAATGAGGATCACTCGTTTCAACCATACTCCGCCTCGGAAATTCCGTATAGATTTTGTTTATTGGTGAGGGGTAGTAGCGATGGATTTAGCGCAAAAACATTTCACTCCAAGTGTGACGGGAGGCGGAGCACCGTCACCTTATTCAAACTTCAGGATCACGATATCTTTGTGGGCGGTTATAATCCGGGCGTCTGGGATGGTGCGATGTGGCCGAAGTTTAAGAAAAATGACAAATCCTTTGTATTTTCCTTTACACAAGGAGGCAACACCAGTAGCCTGAATACCACCAACCAAGGTAAAATAGGGAGACTGATCAGTGCCGAAAGCTGCGAGTATGCATTGAACTGTTGGAGATCCAATGGTCCATCGTTTGGAAATTTGGATTTACTGATGCATGGTCGGAAGCTCACATTCAAGCATAAGACATATATGCCAAATGTGATGCCCTTTGATGACGAGATTATTGTGATCGAAGATTATGAGGTGTTTGAGGTTGTGGAAAAGGTGAAGGGGGGTGGAAAGGATGCCGAGAGCATCGAGAAGTGAGTGAACAAAGGGACGAATGACTGATCGATGAATAGATAGACAGACAAACATACATATAGATATTGTAGATAGATTGTTAATGTATTATAATACGTACGCAAGTTGAATTAGGTGAATGTCGGTCAAAGAGAAATTTAAAAGACTGTTCATTTCTTTTTTCATCATAATTTTCTATAAGCATGTACAGTTTACTTGTATTTTTAATTCTAATCCAATATCCCTTGTTTAAAAAATAAAATTTTACTAATTTTTGTATACACAGTACCCGCATAAATTAACGACCGATCCATGATTACCTGATGGGCACAATGAATTTTCACGATGGATCTTTATGCATCATGTTTATGATCTTGAAAACACTAATTAATGCAAAGTATACTATATATTATAATTGACTCGGAATCATTGTACCATAAGTGACGGTTTGTATTGTCACGCCCGTAAAACAAACTCTATCAATTTACCAAATTTAAACAAATGATTGATCTTTATGCAATAATCGTATAATATAATTAGAAAATGTTCGTTGTTTGAATTTCGATTATAATTTTGGTTTCGATGAATTTATTTATAATTTTGTTATTAAGATCTATAAAAAAAAATTCTTATATACCGTTCACTTTTAAACTTGTTTATTTGATTTGATTTTTCCTAAGGTAATTTAATAAAGTTATAACAAAACTTGTACTTTGAAAGATAAATAAAAAATAAATAAATACACAAAAAAAAATCTTTATATACATATATCGATGGTTACTTTTGAATGTAACAAAAACATTTTTTAAGAATTTTCTTGTGACCTTTTTTATTTTAAATAATTTAGGTCATTTTTTTTGTTCTATTCTGAATTTAAAATATTTACACCTTAATTAATACATAATCAAACTTAATAAAAAAAAAACAATTATTTAAAGCTAATGACATAAACTGTTATATAAAAAAAGTTAATTGGAATCTTATTTTTTTGTTTTTAATAATTTATATCAAGCTATTTTATTAAATCAAAAATATATTATAATTCAAACAATATACTACTATTCATTATGGTATTCTACATTTCAATTTTTGAGTAATAAATATTAAAAATAAAATATAAACAAAAAAAAATAAATGTTTTTCAATTTAATTTTTAGATCTTTATATAGATTTAATAAATTTGTTTTTTAAATGATTATTTAAAAAAATTGTAATATTATAATTTATAAAATATTTTGTTAATATTAATAATAAATATTTTATTAGAATATTTTTATTTATAATTATAGTTACTAAAGTTTAAATAATTTTATATTGGAGAATAGACTTATTATAGAAACTTAAATCATTTTATATTATTTATTATAATAAAATTATAAATTTTTTCTATATTTTACTGATTTTGCTAGTTATGAAAGTTAATAACTTATAATAAATTTTTATAAATTATTTAGAAACTTATTTTTTTTAATAAGAAATAAAAAAAAATAATTAAATATAAATTTTATATAAAAATAAATAATTATTTTTGAAAACAATAAAAATAATATAATTATTTTTTTTTATTTCTATTTTTTGAACAATACATATATAATATAAATTTTAAAAATACAATTATAAAGTTAAAAAAATTTTTGTCCATTTTTTTTAAAAAATAATTAACCATATAAAATATAAAAAAAAGTTATAAATAATAATATATAATTAGAAAAATATATTAATTTACTTAATATAAAAAAAATAAAACTCTTTTCATTGATCTATATTTTTTTAAAAAAATTTTCTTTTTTGATAATTTTTTTGAAAAACTTATAAAAACACTTTCAATCTAGCAACAAAAAAATAGCAAACTTTAAAAAAATAGAATAGAAAATACTTATCAAAATCAACTTTAAAAAAAGAGAGAGAGAGAGAAAATAAATTAAGGAGATGATTACTGTTGGCGGAAG